ATCCCCCCCCCCCCCCCCCCAGCACACACAATAAAAACTACAGTGCTTTATTAATAAAAGTAATCATTTAAATATAATCTTAAGACATTATTGGGAGATATACAGTGAAATCTGATAGTTTCATGCATTTTATGTAAGTAGTCTGCTATACTGTTATAAGTATCAGAATTGTATCTATAAAAATATCATCAAATTCCATAAGTTTGCTTAGTCTGGGCCTCTGAATAAAGTTTTTTTTCCTTCTGAAGTATGATAAACTCATGCTGGATGATATTTTTTTTTAACAGACTTTAAAATGTTTTGTCTAAAGGTTTAATAAACTGTTCATTTACTGTTCAAATGTATGCCATGCTTCAGTTCCAAAGATTTTTGGCACTTGCACTTTTTCACTCCAGAAATGCTGCAAAAAGCGATGTCCACTGGAAAAAACGCTGGATCTGAATAGGTCAAGATGAGTTTGAAAGTCTTCCAAAATCACTTCACTCTAAAAATCACAGAGTCGCGTCCAGCGCAAGGCGTGGGCTTCTAGTGATTTGGGTTGACATTTTTGACCACTGGATCAAATCCCATTGATGAGAACATCCTCTCGAGCTCTGCTGACAGAGAACGGTCTCCCTGGCGACATGCAGGCTGATGGCGCGCTCTCTCTCTCCCGGCCCCCACCTCTCTTCACATGGACCAGGCGCGTAAACGAAACCTGCGCGCAGGTCTCCGCTGAGCTGCATTTGCTTTGCAAGTGTCTTGAGCGCTGATCGTGCTTGTAAACACTTCTTATTGACTGAGAGCGCAACAGAATCAAGCACTTTTTTTTATCCAAGTAGCGGTGTAGACTGATGGTATGAACCATCACAACTTATTTTAGGAGATACTTTTATTAGTTTCGCTCCTCATGAAACTTGACTCAACAGGCAGTTGCAGAAAGTGAGTTGATGCCACAAGAGGCTCGACTGTCTCCGCTCAGGATGAACGGAACGTTTTTTAATCACACGGTGTTTACGCACGGCGTTCTGCTCAACCGCAGTCAAGAACTGATGGGGACACTAGTTGATTGCTGCACGGGGAACGGGAGCGAGGTGACCGCAAACGACGGCGGCGGGTCTTTAGTTCTCGCTCAGGACGAGCGCAAGCTGTTCGTTACGCGCGTGGTGCAGATCGCGGTGCTGTGCGTTCTTTCGCTCACGGTGATGTTCGGGATCTTCTTTCTCGGTTGCAACCTCATGATCAAGTCCGAAAGTATGATCAACTTCCTGGTCAAGGACCGGAGACCATCCAAAGACGTGGAGGCGGTGATGATCGGACTGAGCTAGCCGCGTTTAGGAGATACTTTTATTAGTTTCGCTCCTCATGAAACTTGACTCAACAGGCAGTTGCAGAAAGTGAGTTGATGCCACAAGAGGCTCGACTGTCTCCGCTCAGGATGAACGGAACGTTTTTTAATCACACGGTGTTTACGCACGGCGTTCTGCTCAACCGCAGTCAAGAACTGATGGGGACACTAGTTGATTGCTGCACGGGGAACGGGAGCGAGGTGACCGCAAACGACGGCGGCGGGTCTTTAGTTCTCGCTCAGGACGAGCGCAAGCTGTTCGTTACGCGCGTGGTGCAGATCGCGGTGCTGTGCGTTCTTTCGCTCACGGTGATGTTCGGGATCTTCTTTCTCGGTTGCAACCTCATGATCAAGTCCGAAAGTATGATCAACTTCTTGGTCAAGGACCGGAGACCATCCAAAGACGTGGAGGCGGTGATGATCGGACTGAGCTAGCCGCGGTGTCACCAGTAACCGGGCTGCGGGACCGAGTGACACCCAGTTGTCCTCAGACTGGGAGCCACGGAGATATGCAACTTACATTTTCACTCCCTTCGTGTTCTGAAAAGAAAAGGCGGTGTGGATGGACTGAAGCAAAGATGACAGATAGGCCTATACAGCTGCACGTTTACGAAATGAGAATGTATTTATTCATGTTTACGTAGCTTTTTGTATTTGAGGTCATTTTTGCTTGTGATTTTTTTACAGTGAAGTGTTTACACGTTTTTACCTCAGAAAAAAAAATAAAAGTATCTATTTATTGCATTATGTTTGTTACAATTATACGCTACGTTACAACTTATACGCGGTGATGATCGGACTGAGCTAGCCGCGGGTGTCACCAGTAACCGGGCTGCGGGACCGAGTGACACCCAGTTGTCCTCAGACTGGGAGCCACGGAGATATGCAACTTACATTTTCACTCCCTTCGTGTTCTGAAAAGAAAAGGCGGTGTGGATGGACTGAAGCAAAGATGACAGATAGGCCTATACAGCTGCACGTTTACGAAATGAGAATGTATTTATTCATGTTTACGTAGCTTTTTGTATTTGAGGTCATTTTTGCTTGTGATTTTTTTACAGTGAAGTGTTTACACGTTTTTACCTCAGAAAAAAAAATAAAAGTATCTATTTATTGCATTATGTTTGTTACAATTATACGCTACGTTACAAATTATACGACCATGGTTTTGTTGTAGTAAAAGTGTAGTAACCATGTTTTTTTTTTTGACGTATTGATTACCATTTATATAACCACAGGTTTACTACAAATACCATGGTAAAACTATGGTTAGTGTAGCAAAACTGGTTCATTTTGTGCTTACACATGGTTTAAAGGGATAGTTCACCCAAAAATGAAAACTTACAACTTATACGACCATGGTTTTATTGTAGTAAAAGTGTAGTAACCATGTTTTTTTTGGCGTATTGATTACCATTTATATAACCACAGGTTTACTACAAATACCATGGTAAAACTATGGTTAGTGTAGCAAAACTGGTTTATGTTGTGCTTACACATGGTTTAAAGGGATAGTTCACCCAAAAATGAAAATTCTGTCATCATGTACTCACCCTCATGTCGTTCCAAACCTGTATGAGTTGCTTTCTTATGTCGAACATAAAAGAAGATATTTTGAAGATTGCTGGTTGCTGGAAGATTGACTTCCATAGTAGGAAAAAAAATACTATGGAAGTCAATGGCAACCACCAACTGTTTGATTACCAGCAATCTTCAAAATATCTTCTTTTATGTTCGACATAAGAAAGCAACTCATACAGGTTTGGAACGACATGAGGGTGAGTACATGATGACAGCATTTTCATTTTTAGGTGAACTATCCCTTTAACTATAGTAACCATGTTTTTTTGGTTTTATTTGTAGTAAAACCATGCTTAATTTTCGTATGGGTTGAGGGAGAGGGGTTGCGAAACGCAAATTGTAGCCTACTTTGGTGCAACTATTCTAAAAGTTGGTTATCTAAAATACATTAAAAAAAATTTAATAACAAAATGATAAAAAGATAAGACGCTTTTTCGACGGACCCGTACAAAATTGGTCTTAATGGAAAGCGTGTGGGCAACGTGTTGTCATTGTGACTTCCTTTTACGAGCGAAATGTAGCGACGTTAAAATAAACGTTCTAACTTGTATCATTACTGAAAACCCCGTTGAAACCTATATATGCTAGCATGAGTTTTTTTTTTAAAGATTTACTAAGACCCTACCAGTCTTTTGTTTTGACTCCCTTGTGGTGGTGGTTGGGGGGGCATCAAGCCTTATTATTCGAGATATTCTGGTTTCCTCAAACCCACCATCCTGGTTTGTACTAGACAATCACTTGTAAAAGCATGTTGTTTTGTGAACTGTGACTTTTGCACCTTGAATAGCAGGTGTTATGGTTTTATTGTAGTAAAAGTGTAGTAACCATGTTTTTTTTGGCGTATTGATTACCATTTATATAACCACAGGTTTACTACAAATACCATGGTAAAACTATGGTTAGTGTAGCAAAACTGGTTCATTTTGTGCTTACACATGGTTTAAAGGGATAGTTCACCCAAAAATGAAAATTCTGTCATCATGTACTCACCCTCATGTCGTTCCAAACCTGTATGAGTTGCTTTCTTATGTCGAACATAAAAGAAGATATTTTGAAGATTGCTGGTTGCTGGAAGATTGACTTCCATAGTAGGAAAAAAAATACTATGGAAGTCAATGGCAACCACCAACTGTTTGATTACCAGCAATCTTCAAAATATCTTCTTTTATGTTCGACATAAGAAAGCAACTCATACAGGTTTGGAACGACATGAGGGTGAGTACATGATGACAGCATTTTCATTTTTAGGTGAACTATCCCTTTAACTATAGTAACCATGTTTTTTTGGTTTTATTTGTAGTAAAACCATGCTTAATTTTCGTATGGGTTGAGGGAGAGGGGTTGCGAAACGCAAATTGTAGCCTACTTTGGTGCAACTATTCTAAAAGTTGGTTATCTAAAATACATTAAAAAAAATTTAATAACAAAATGATAAAAAGATGAGACGCTTTTTCGACGGACCCGTACAAAATTGGTCTTAATGGAAAGCGTGTGGGCAACGTGTTGTCATTGTGACTTCCTTTTACGAGCGAAATGTAGCGACGTTAAAATAAACGTTATAACTTTTATTATTACTGAAAACCCCGTTGAAACCTATATATGCTAGCATGAGTTTTTTTTTTTTAGATTTACTAAGACCCTACCAGTCTTTTGTTTTGACTCCCTTGTGGTGGTGGTTGGGGGGGCATCAAGCCTTATTATTCGAGATATTCTGGTTTCCTCAAACCCACCATCCTGGTTTGTACTAGACAATCACTTGTAAAAGCATGTTGTTTTGTGAACTGTGACTTTTGCACCTTGAATAGCAGGTGTTTTGAATTTGAAGATGTCAAAATGTATTTTTCTTCAAGTTTAACTTGTGGCCGAGAGCACGTGAGGGGGGAGATGTTCATCTGGTGGGTCACTTGCACGTTTTCAATGACTCCTTCCCCGATCACACCGGCTGACGTCTCTCCCTCTGCATGCGCGGTGCTCGGTGTGTCAGGCACTTTCTACGTAAAGACCTCAATGCTGCATGGAGTATTTTGTAAACTGTATTGACTTGAAAACTTGAAATTCTGCAGCATGCTTTGAATAAAGTTGTTAAAACATTGCATTGCATTTGTTTATTTATCTTTAATGGTCAGACGTTCAGAACAAAAATAGTTGGCCAAATCTGGCAAATTTTAAAACAATCCATAAAAAGGCTGCATACATAGGCCTCTATAATAGACTATATTATGGTATGATATACTATGGTTAAATGCGTATCTTGCATCTTTGCATCTACATGCATCATCTTCAGTAAGTTTTTGTTTTTCGATGATGCACTGTATCTGTGGAAATCTTTTTTGCTCTTCATTTTTAATTATGAACACATGGGCATTACGAAAACTTATTTAAGAAACGTAGCATGAAAAATACGTTTAAATTTAAGAAGTCAGAAAAAAATGAATATTTTTAGAATTTCATAAAATGTACTTTTTCAGGAAAGAAGCATAGCATAACTGATTAATCTGTTTGCATTACAAAATACATACAAAATATAGGTATTTTATACATTAAATTACAACAAAAGACCTTCACTTGAGTGAGTTGTGGAGGATGCAACTTCAACGTTCAGAGAAGGGCTATGTTTAGACAGAGTAAAAAGTAATAATTATGTGGTGCCTAATTTTTCCTTTTGACTCTCTAAAACAAATAATAAGGCTTACTCACTCGACTTTGATGAGAAAAAATATTCTTTGATCATAACTTATTTAAAATAATAATAATTATGCTGCATGCAACAGCATCTCATCTAAGCCAGATTTGCAGTTCCTTAATGCCTTTCACAAGAGATGTAAGCAAGTCGAACTAAAGCCACTATATAAATAAAATAACATTTTAGTGTAGTGATCATTTAACACATTTGCATATTAAAGATTAGTCTGAATTGTTCTCTGATTCATTTGGCTTAATATACACACACAGATTCAGGTATCATGAGGGCCACATAACGACTGATACACAACATTACACAAAGCAATATCTACACTGTAAAAAATGACAGCAAATTTAATGGTAAAAGACTGTAAAAATGCTACAGTAAAAACCTGTTAAATGGTTAACAGTAAATTTCCCTACTATATACGGTGAAAAACTGTACTGAACATTACATGTATTGGACATTAATTTTATGGTAGTATACCGTTTTTGGAAGGGAAAAATACCTTAAATAACCGTAAATTGACATTCCCAGAATTCCCTGCGTTACATTTCAAATTTGCTGTTTTTTTGTTGAAATAACTGTTTCTTCTTAGTTTTTTCTTATCAGTTTTGTATATTAGGGTTGTGTGTTACACCAAATGTGCATGTGGTGGTTATCAGTGTATTACAAAGGTACAAAACAGACTTCAGTACTTCAATTGGTTGGTATTTTAACATTATATCAGGTAATCAAATTATGTTATTTAACTGTAAATTTAAGTTAAAACCGTAAAACCCTAAAATGTTGCTACCGTATTTTTTACGGTAAAATTCCAGCAACCACAGCTGCCGGTTTCTTACTGTAAATTTAACGGATTTTTTTTTTTACAATGTACAACTGTTTAACAAGGAAAGGTGAAGGATGGAAAACAGGAAGGGGAAATGTGAGAAAGGCATATAGCATTATATTTCTGTAGAGGAGGTCTGAGTATGGTCTCAGATTTCTGTGATGTTCAGCTCTGAGATGTGATTTTTACTGCCCTCTTATCCTTTCCTCCATTTACACTTCTTTTAATGGACTGTAAAAATGGAGATAAGTAGAGAGATGGAAAGAGAGAGATGAAAAGAGGGAGATTCATAGAGCTAACCTGTTTCATAAAATAATAAATTGTACAAGCAGTGAATCAGCTTTGCAGTGTCAGCGCTGGATGCTTATATAAAATAATTGGCCAAATAAAAAATTCAGGAGCATGCACACATGAATTAGTGCACAAATTGAAAACATCTGTATCATTCTTTCTTTATTTTTTGACAATTTTCTCTCTTACATATATTTTTGTCATTTTGCATTGCGGCTTCATTTTTAAACACAGTATACAGCTCTTTTACATATTTAATTATACTGTACATTACCATATATATATATATATATATATATATATATATATATATTTTAATGCCTCCATTTACTGCTTTATTGGACAAGTTATGAGCTAAAATTATGCAAGGACTTGATTTTCAGTAAAATCTTCATCTCATGCAGGAGTAAAATGCAGAAAATTGCAGGTTGAATGTTTGAAATGCTTTTCTACAACATTAATATGACCACTAGATGGTACCAAACACCTGGTTCAGCTTTAACATAATATAAGCTTAATAAAGGGTTGAATAAATAAAACAAACAAATGTAATACATGGGGGAAAATAAACTATATGGCCTAAATAATAGTAAATGCCCAACATTTAATAGGCTGTTTTGCTAAAAATTATGATTTGTTCGGACGATTCTCTGTAAGGCAGTGACTTGTGTGAAAACAGTGGAAGCCGTTGAATAAAATAACTTATTGAATACCATACTGCGCCTTTATCTGCATGTGCACATAAAATGTAGAAGCCCCAAGCTGTCATTCGGTGTTCATTTGTTGAGTCTTAACTTGCCTGTGGTTACACATTTCCTTGCGTCTTGAAGAAGATTGCGCTTGTGAAATGCTAAAACACATTAGGTCATCTGTCCTTACATGTTTCGGAATGGCAGTTTCCACTCCCAGTTTGTACATCAGAGAATCAGACTGAAAACAGAGCTGCTAAGGCAGGAGACCTGCAGTAGTTTGGATCTATTAAAATGGGACTGAATTTGCTAGATGTATGGGTGCCAGTTTTACTTCTAGTTTCCATAGCTGCGGGTAAGTTTGCCTTTTGTTATTGTTTTTTAGTTAATGACTCAAAAATGAGAATAACGTGTGTGTGCTGCGTGTAAACATCTGTAATTACATGTATAACTACACTGTTGACCCATCCCTTACACTTACACATACCAGCTATCCTTAACCTTACCCAACCACAACAATGAATATGACAAGTCCACTATACTGGTCAGCCAAACATATATTGGGCAAATCTCTCTCTCTTAAGCAGCACTTTTGTTTTCAACATTGCTAATAATAGGAAATGTTTCTGGAGAAGCAAATTAACATATTATAATTATTTCTGAAGGATCATATGACAGATGTACCATCACAGGAATACATTTTACATATTAAAATATATTAAAATTGCAATAATATTTCACAAAATATTATTTTACTGTATATTTTAATCATAAATGCAGCCTTGGTGAGCATTCTTTTAAAACATTAAAAAACAGAGCAAGAGAGAGAGAGAGAGTGAGAGAGTGAGAGAGAGAGAGAGATGGCTAATTTGGCAATACATTGATTTTTAGGTGTATTTGTAGGACTATCCTTCACTTGGTATGATCACGGACAAATTATCTGAGAATAACATCAACCTCATCTTTGCTGTAACCAGTTCTATGGTGCAACTATATCGTGTGAGTTTCTATATTCTTGTCAAACACAAATCTACAATATGTCTCTGTCTGTAACATGAAGACATTCATACAGTATATGTTTATGGGGTGTTGTCATGTTTCCTGTATTCTCACAGAACTACAGCGAGCTGATTCCTGGCTCTGTGGTTGGAACGCTCTCTAGAGACTCTGGAAATGTTGTGCAACTCATTCTGGATGCATATGCGGTCAGTCACATTGCCAGGAATTAATAAAGCCTCTGAGTTGTGAGAACTTGTTGGTTAGGAGGACTGTGTTTGCTTTTTTAATTTGAGATATTTGACCATTTCAATCCAGTAGGGCTTAAACTCAAATAAAGAGAGAATTCAGAGGATGACCTTTGATCTCTGCGCCGTTTGTTTTTGTAGAAGATAAGGTCTAAGGTTGAGCTGGAGCTGCTGGGTGTGCCGGATGAGTTATCTCTGTTCATCAACGCAACATGCCTGGGTGGAGAGGTCATTACTGGCGTCAAGTCCTGCGCTGGACTCAAAATTGGAGATATGGTCAGCACCTGGTGCATATACTAGAAAAATTTATTTTTGTTTATTGTTCAGTTTACTCAGTTAAAATAAGCTACAGCAACACAATTGCTGAATATTTTATCACAATTTTATTGTGTTCAGTCTACTTAGATATGCAAAACTTTAAATTTTACGGAATTAGTTTGTGTTGGGACTATCGTTTTTGTTGCGCTAATCATTTTCTGTTGCAATGAAACTGCATGTGTGAATTTTAGGTCCAAGCATGCTTTGCATAGGATTGAAATGGGCGAGTAAATGCTGAAATTAAGTGTTATTTCTATGCATTTCTGAGTAAAAGCAAAGACCTTTTATGTTTAGTTATGTTGGATATTTAAAAAAGTTTGTGTTGTTGAAGATTTTGTGATTGACATTGTGCTGAAAAGTAGAGCATTTTTATCCAATTTAAATAAAAAGTGTCTAAATTAAGAAAAAATTATTTTATGCAAACTAAAACAGGACAATGAAAAGTATGTACTTTGTTAATTATACTTAACTCAGTTAAATTTCACAATTTATTACAAAGGAATGACAAATAACAGATTGATTTCAACATTACATTTATAAGTAGAAAGACTGAAATTGTATTTTCTTGTAAGACATACTCCAATAATCCTTGCTTTATTTACAGCTTTGAAAAATATATTACTTTACAGTGTAGAAAGTTAGAAACTACATCGTTTGTGTACCAGTATACTCCTGCTAAATTTAAATAGTGTTCTTTATTTTTTAAGCGGGGGATACATTTACAGATGCTTTTATTCAAAGCTATGTACATTGCAATCTATACATTTTGTCTGTCTATCTATCTATCTACAGCGAGAGAGAATAAGTATGTTTAGGTGCTTTTTCATCTTAACTGTTTAAAGTGGATTTATGTGTGTTTCTGCAGGGAGTGTGTGGAGTGTAAACATTATAAGAGAGGGGATCTGTATGAAAAGAACTGCAATCACGTCTGCAGAGATGAGATTGTGCTGGTGGATGAGCTGGGTAATCTCTACCACCGACCAATCCATAATACATATCTCCCATCTGCAGTAGCCTATATAAAGCCTTTTTAGGGTATACGGTACCATTTAAACTTTTGGGGTGCTAATTTTTTATGTTTTTAAAAGATGTCTCCTATGCTCACCAAGGCTGCATTTATTTGATCAAAAACACAGTAAAAACAGTAATGCTGTAAACTTATTTATTCTTACTTATTTATTCCTGTGGTGGCAAAGCCGAATCTTCACATGATCCTGATTTTTTATTATCGCTGAAAACATGTTGTGATGAAATGTTTAAAGGATTATTTGATGAGTAGAAAGTTTAAAAGAACAGCATGTACTTGAAATATAATCTTTTGTAACATTAAAAAGGACTTTACTGTTACTATTTATTAATTTAATGTATCCTTGGTGACTAAAGTTTTTTTTTTTTTTTTACATAAATCTTTGCATAACACATAAATCCAACCCCACACTTTTGAATGGCAGTGTATATTTCTAAACTACACAATCTGTACATCTTCTAAATGCAGAATAATACATCTCCAGGCCACAGACACATCTTAAATCGAATCCATTATTTACCAAAGGTTCATTTATTTATGAATATACACTATGTGACTATAGTTCTTCATGCAGCATATTTTGATCAGTTGTTGTTCTAGCTGAGTTAATTTTCATCTGTTCTCTCCAGTCTTTCATGAGAAGAACTCTGTGAACTGCAGCTACAAGGATGAGGACGACTGCGTTCAGAACTTCCAGTATTATGAAGACGCCAGTGGAAAATCCTTCCTCTATCTTGTTAAAGGACCAGGTGAGAGGAGAGATGTGAGGCAGAGAGAGACAACGTGTGACATGTAGCTGTCAAACATGGCTCATGCTGATAAACGCTCTGTGTCTGTGTGAGAGACGGGTAGATACTGGCTGTACTTCTGTTACAGTTACTAGATACTGAAGAGATCCATTCAAATGGAAACTGAATGTAGAATATGAACTTTTCTTTAAGAATGAATCTTTTGTCATTGCTGATTTATGTTCAGAGTGTCCTAAGGGTCCTGATGTCTTGGTGGTTGTTCTTTCGGTCGCCGGTGCGATCCTGCTGCTGGGACTGGGTGCGCTCTTGGTGTGGAAGCTTCTGATCACCATTCATGACCATCGTGAATTTGCCAAGTTTGAGGAGGAGAAAGCCAGGGCTAAGTGGGAAGCGGTAAGATTCACATCCAGACTATTTGTGAGGTGCTAAACCAACCACATCCTGTTAAGTGTTATCAGCATTTTTTATATTAGTCTTACTTCCTCTCAAACTGTTCAAAATGCACAGTCTAACCACTTTAATCTCAAAATGACTCATAGAATCACAGAGGTCCTATGTGAAATGATTTTGATCAACATTCAGGATAGATACAGTTTTTCTCATTTCTTTGGTGCATTTCTCGAATCATTAATATTTGCAAAGAAGTATGTGCATTTCTCAAAACAATTCGTACAAACAGCACCACAAAATAGATTATCTGCAAAAACCTGTAATTTACTAATCTTTAGTTCATCTCTCAAAAGTAAGTCTTTTTGTCAATGATCAGTACCATCAGAATGAAAAGTCCTTGTGTCATTGTTCACAAACAAGACAATGTTGTCAATACGGTAACAGTGCACTCTGTTAGTATTACCTGATGTAAACTATGGCAACAGTATGCATATACCATATATATATATATATATGTATAACAGTATACCATATCCATTTCAAAAGTACAAATTTACACATTACTGTATGTGGGATATTGATTGAAAGAGACTGGATAGGATTCACAGTTATACTTTTTCTAGAGGTCTGACAAAAAAAACACATATTACAATGTTGTGATATAGAAAAGAAAAAGAAATATGGGCACAAAGGCAAAAATACAAAATTAGAAAGGCAAACACAGGAAACACCCCTTAGGCAGAACTTTATGCACTGTATGAGGAATTTCAAGGAACTGGTTTATGATTGGTTGATCTGGTAACAGTGCACTCTGTTAGTATTACCTGATGTAAACTATGGCAACAGTATGCATATACCATATATATATATATATATGTATAACAGTATACCATATCCATTTCAAAAGTACAAATTTACACATTACTGTATGTGGGATATTGATTGAAAGAGACTGGATAGGATTCACAGTTATACTTTTTCTAGAGGTCTGACAAAAAAAACACATATTACAATGTTGTGATATAGAAAAGAAAAAGAAATATGGGCACAAAGGCAAAAATACAAAATTAGAAAGGCAAACACAGGAAACACCCCTTAGGCAGAACTTTATGCACTGTATGAGGAATTTCAAGGAACTGGTTTATGATTGGTTGATCTACATTCTTCATTAGTGAAAGCCAAGATTCAACTGCACAATTCATGGCAAATTTATGAATGTGTAGAAAATATGTTTGACAGTTTATGACAACTAGATCAACCATTTTGCATTTCATGACTTATACGATGAGCTAACGTCTTGATGTTTTGAGGGGTAAGACTATTGCACAGAGAATTACTGTATATAATACATGTTAAGCAACATGACATAGGAAACCGCAGACAAATGTACCAAAGCAATCGCGACTTGTTCAAAAGAAACAGAAACTGCTTTTATGATGTGCACAAGTGACTAGATGATGTGGAGGTTGAACAAGTAGTTTTGAGAATTTCATTTCTGATCTGAGAAATGCACCAGTTTAGTGACAGAAAAACTGTAACATCATTCAACACAATCTCGACACCAAGTAGTCAAAGTGGGAATTACAGATGTGCTGATTTTTTCATTACAAATACTTATGAGCTTTGCAGCACTGGTCATTAATGAAAATCTCCCTCATCTTTTAGGCTAATAATCCGCTCTACAAAGGAGCCACCAGCACCTTCCAAAACGTAGCATATCGTGGCAGTTAAGAATGACACCACCTCTGCTTCTGTCAAGCACAACTACTGATCATCTCAACAGCACACGACTCAGCCAATCACAGCTGGGTTCACCCAGGCATGTGACTATCTAGAACGGTGGTGACTAATGCAGTATGTACCGAAATATTTTTAGAAATAATATTAGATAATCAAAAACAAACTACTGTTCAAATATTTGGAGTCAGTATGTGTTTTTACATTTTTTTTAATTATTTAAATTAAAATGACAAAATAAAATGTTTCCCCTTGGTAGGCAGCCTTGGTAAGCATAAGCATAAGAGACTTGCTGAATTTCAAAAACATAAAAAATCTAAACCCAAAACTTTTAGGAGTGACAATTATAGTTACAGTGTAAACATGTTCAATGAGACCTCAGTTACAATTTTTAATAACTAATTTTTAATAAGTAAATTTTCCCACTTATAGCACTGTTATTTTTACATTTTCATTTTCCTGATGATAGAACTATTTAACAACAACAGTAAATGTTCTTTTATACATGTTACATGTAAAGTTGTTTATTTTATTCATTATGAAACTTGACAATGCTGTTATGCTGTTGTGGGACTGGTGCGACTTTAAAATTGTTCTCTTCTTACGGTACATTCATTTTCACTGCTGGTATTCATTTGCTGTATTTTAAAATATTTTTAAACTTGCATTTTCTGTGTTATCATTTTATTTAAGGTGATGTGTGTAACTTTTTCTAGTGTTAAAATTCTTTCTTGTATCCGCTCCTTAATATACAGAGACAAAAATGTCATATCACTCACTGTGGCTATTAAAACATTCCTCTGTTTGGCTAAGCATCCCAAACAAAGCCAGGGATGTGATGGTCTGTTTGGATGGCCAATGCCGGGAAACCCTTCTGAAAACAGTCATTATTATTGCTATTCCATTTGCTGGCACAATTGGTGGAGAAAGTCACCTCTAATGAAACCTTGACATAAATCTAATGTTTAAAATTCTACAGTAATTTTCTGAGTGAAAGTGTCTTCTTTAAAGAACGATTTCTATGTTTGATTCAGACTAGTTTTTTAAAGTAATTAAAGCTCTAACTTGGTGACCTGTGTACTGTGTGTTGTGTTGAAATACTTTTATATGATCATAAGGGGTGTGGCCAGTTAAAAACAACAACAACAAAAACCTTATCTGCAACAACATTTTTAAAGAATGGGACTGTTTTGCTATTTCCTGTTCTCTGTCTACAACGTAAAAAAGAACAAGTGGAGGGACATACCACTAAATCAATTCCTACAAATCAGATATTACCTTTCCCAATGACAATTTTCGAATAAATCCCATTTCTTTGAGTCATAAAAAACAGGTATGTGAAATTCTGGAATGCATGCGACTCATCAGATATAATTTCTCTTTGTAGAAATAGTGTCAGATTCTAATTCCAATTTGTTTATCTGTCAAACATTTGCACTTGCCAGAAGACTGAGAGACTGTGAAGGTTGTCAGTCGATCCATCTGACCTGTGCCTGGTCCTTTCAGGAGGTAATAAACACAAACAAACACACCTGTAAGTGACTCACAGGAAATATGCTTGTGTAAGACACTGCTGTGGTTGGACATCAGATTTGCTTCAGACATATTGGTATCAATACACTTATCTGTGTGTGTCTGTCAGACCTTCAGCCCATCCGCCTCTGACTAGCAAATGCAAATCATTCACAGCTCTGACACATGCTGAAGGCTTCAGGAGGAAGTTAGATTTGTGTAAGGTTAGTGTTGGGTCAGTGTGAAGGAAGTACAGAAGCTGAGTCATAAATGTCTTGTCTGGGGAGTGACTTGGCCACATAATGGAATGCAATCGTGGAAATAGATCAAATTATATATAATTCTAAGCATTTACCTCTAACTTAGATGTTACATATGTTTCTAGCCTATTTTGACAGTGCTGTTACAAAATATCTACACTCTCTTCATGGATGTAACAGCCAACAACCCTGAAGCCTAAATGATGTGTAAATTTTAAACTACTCTTTGATAATTAAAAAGTCTCTCTTTGGAGTTTACAGAGGATCTTCTAAATGGGAGTAACCATGCGTGAGGCAACAATAGCACACACTTTATCTGTGACTCGTACAAACAGGTGGTGAGAAAAAGCATTTCAAAACTAAGACACAAATTACATCTTGTGCAACTCAAACCAGCAGCTCTTAATTACAGGGAAGCTGGTTTCTTCGAGAAACCACAACTGTTCCTACACTCAGCTGTTCATCTGTGAGAGTTTGGCCATAACTGGATGTCAAAACACCAATGAATCCTCTGCAGTGAATGGGTGTCATCAGAATGAGAGTTCAAAACATCACATAAAAACATAATAATCCATAAGACTCCAGTCCACCAGTTAATGTCTTGTGAAGTTAAAAGGCTGCCCTGTTGAAAAAAAAACAGTATATGCTGGTTAGCTATGTTTTGAAGCGTGCCAGCTTTTTTAGCTGGTTTAATGGCCTGAGGGAAGAAACTGTTCCAGTGCCTGGTCGTTCTGGTGCTCAGTGCTCTGTAGCGTCGACCAGATGGCAACGGTTTTTAAGATGGTCCTTAGTTGGTCATGAGCTGGTTTAAGCTGGTCCTAAGCTGGTTATGAGCTGGTCCTGAGCAGGAGCTAGTTGCTTAGGACCAGCACATGACCAGCTAAAACCAGCTACCATGCTTCAAAACATACCTAATCACCATATGCTGGTTTTTTCAACCGGGTGCGTGTTTATAAGAAACAAATACTCCCAACAAATAAAATATGAGTCCTCTCAAATATTGATTTCTCCAGTGAAAAAGTTGTGTCATCTGAATCAGGAAAGAGATATGCACAAATAAAGCACTTTTTACAGGCGAAAACAGTCCAGAACAGTTCTAAACAATGTCTGTGGATTTTGATGTGAGAGTCACAACTGTAGCTGGACATTTTCACTGGAGGAAGCATTATTATGTATTATGGATTCGAATTTTGACCAGAAGCGATGGTTGAAAATTAAATCCCTTAATGATGAATTTGTTTCTTACAAAAATGCAGCTTTTCGTTGCACAAGACATTAACTGTAACATTAATTATGGACTGGAGTGGTGTGGATTACTTGTGGATTATTGGGAAGTTTTTATCAGCTGTTTGGACTCTCATTCTGACGGCACCAATTCACTGCAGAGGATCAATTGCTGAGCAAGTATTTATTTTTTTATTTTTGGTGCAACAATCCTACAGGCCTTTACTTTTTAGGCTATCGAAGTTTTATGCATTTGAGAAAGTTGAGAAAAAGCAAAACAAAACAAAACAAAACAAAAACAGACATGTTTTAGAACATAAAACATCACTTCCATATTACACAAATTAACTTTATAATAAAGAGGAAGTAAATAAAGATACCCTAAATGTTTTTAGTGATAATCCTTTCCCTACACTGTAAACGAATCAGATGAGAGGAAGGAAATGGGTGAGAGAGAAGCTGGTGGTGTGACATGAAGTTGTCAGATATTATTCAGAGACACTATGCTCATAATCCCTCATTGTCATATACAACCGTCTTATGAACCGCTATATACATCCCAACCTGTCATTTCTGGTCTATTTTTTGTCCTAAGGGTCCTGATGTCATGGTGCTCTCTCTATTACGGGTGCTGTCCTGTTGCTGGGGCTGCTTTCACTCATGTGGAAACTGTTCATGACTGCTGTGAATATGCCAAGTTTGAAGAGAAGTGGGGACTGCCATATTCCAGTCAGGCACAGATAATGATCATATCAACTGCATTCCATGTCTCTATCAATCACAAGTGGGTTCATTAATGCATAAAGTGTCAAAGCCCATAGAGCAAAGATTTTTAAAGAAAAGATTGTTCTAATTGGAACGCTCTTCGACTTGGCATATGAAAAATGACCGCCTTGTAATACATGAAGTGTCAGCATGAAGTGCAAAGCAAAAAAATGTTAACACTTTTTATTGCTTGCAGGCTTAGTTTGACACATTCTTGCATATAGACTGCAGCAGCCTCTGAAATTTTTGCTGCCATAGATACAAGACATGCACTTGCTTCTGGAGTTCCACTGAACTCTTCTGGAACTGTTGTTTCCATGGCAGCACTTGCACTAGAGGTTCTTCTCTGGTGCTGTCCTAAAATATATATATATATTAGGGATGCACCGATACCACTTTTTCCAGTACTCGCCTGATACCGATACTTTTATTTTTGATACTTGCCGATACAGAGTACCGATATTTGTATTGCATTTGTAAATTTTTTAAATATTGGGTACAGAAACCAAAAGAGTATGTATAATGTTAGTTGGTTAACTTCATTTATCAAATAGATACAGTCAAACCAAAATGTATTCAGACACCTTCAACATTTCTCACATTATCACAGTTTATTCGCTATATTCGCAAATTCAGATTGATAGTAATAGATCATTTTAATATAAAGGTATGTAATGGATTACAATCAACCAAAAATGATTCAGACAGCTGTTAGTATGACAGTATTTACACAACTATCAATACTTAGTCAGGCAACCCTTAGCTTTAATGACAGCATATAGTCTCCTGGGCATGCTGTCAACCAGCTTCATGCAAACCTGAACTTCAGTGTTTTTCGCATACTCGGTCTGAATCATTTTTGGTCCCAAATTTGTATCAGTTTTACTGGTAGTCCACTGTATGAAGATTGTTTGGGTATAATTTGTTACAGTTTACTTTATTTTGCTATCCTCACTTTCATAAATGAACTACAGTGTCCTGCACCCACTAGTAAAAAAAATAAATTATATCTGGTCTCTGAATAATTTTTGGTTTGACTGTTATGCCCATTACAATGTATTTTACAAGTTTTTGTCACTTTCACTGTTCATTTTTTTGCTCTATGGTACATCATCTTTAATTTAATAGCATTAGAGCTGCTCCATTGCAGCGGCTCAGTACTGTAATCACGCGCTTTGCTGTAATAATGCAGGGAACCACTCGTTATAAATCTCCTAAAGGTGATATTTTCAGAAATAGAAGTCGTGTTTTTTTTCATCTGAAACGTGTTGCGATTTCCAAAGCCACTCATATAATGCAGATGCTCAAGCAAGCAAAACGCACGCAACGCTTGCCCGTATTTGCACTGATGCAGAATGAGAGGGACAAGTACAGTACAGCCTAGAGCATTTCACACAGGCTGCTAGATTCACTTTCGCCAGAAAGTCGTGTA